TTTTTCTTCTTCTTGCTTCTTCTAGTCCTTTACCAATTTTAAGAAACAGCTCTAGGTGCCCATTGGTGGTCTACTCAGCCACTGCCAGAAGGACCCATGGCACACATCTATTTAAGGGTTATGCCAACAGAGGTGGGGAAAAACACAGATGAGACAGCCCCAAAATGATGCTGTCTACTGAGTCTTTCCCTTTCATAAGAATATGGAGTTCAGGCAATTATTGGAATGCTACATTTCAGTTTATACTGAGTTAATGTTTTCTTTGCAGACTTGAAAAGCTAACCTGTATAGAAAAGAAATACCTGTCTGATGAGGAGAAAAAGACTACTGACCTAAGTCAGGCTGCTTTTGAAGAGCAGTTTCATTTCTTGACGCTCAACCAGGAGAATAAGAGGGATGAGAAGAAGGGTCTGGTGAGTCGTGGTCTGGGGGTGGGTGTAGGCCAGGGTCTGGGACAACAGAGTTTTCTGCAGCCACAAGACAGCAACACAGACTTCAAACTTTGAGCCCCTGCCCCCCCTTCCTCCCTCACTGAGGAGTTCCTGAGGTTGGAGGAGGCAGTAGCCAAAGAAGGGAAAAAAATCAGGAGGCAGAGGGAGCATTTCTTTTACTGGTGGGGGGGGGGGGGGGGAGGGGGGGTGGAGGAGCCTTGTGTGAAGGGACTCAGAAAGTAGTTGGACTGGACAGGCGACCTGCAGCCGGTGGAGCTGGTAGGGAAACTGCAGTCAGGGCAGGGCTTTTTCCTGAGGTTTTGTCTTTCTGCCATTTCTGCCCCCCCACACCACCATTTACTGCTTATGACATGCAAATAAGACCAAAATTTCATTTTCCTTAGTTCAGCAACAAAAGGTGAGTTTTTTTAAAAAAGGAATTTATACTTAAAAAAGTTTTGTTGTTAAGTGCTGTTGAGTCGGTTCTGACTCATTTGACCCTGTATAGGGTTTATGAGGAGCTGCTGGTGGCTTTGAACCACTGACTTTGTTAGCAGTCCATTGCTTATCCTACAGCATCTTAGGAGCAAAATAATAGTCCAGCTATTAAAAAGGTATTTTGTATGTAAGCAGAAATTTTCCGGGCACACGTTTTTTTCCCAGCATCTTCAGCTTACTGCGCAGGGTCTGAGTACATTTCTCCCCTACCCTGTGTCTTTCCAGGGCAGGGCATAGAGGAGCTATAGTGCCCCCACTTGGTAATCAATTGATGACCGGCCTTGAGCACAGTGGATGTTTGCATTGCTCCTTTTACCTACTAATTACACACACACACACACGCACACATACACACACACACACACAGGGTGAGGGACAATCCCTTCTCTACACTTGGAAACATTGTTAGACATTGTTGTGACCCACCCTACCGGATCCCAATGTTCTCTTCAGAGAGGAAAAGATTCTCCTTATGTAGCAATTGCAACCATGCTGCGTGAGCACAGAGCCCCACAGTCAGCTTTTCATGTGGCTGGCTGTCACATGTCAGCCTCACATTAGGGTGAGTTTACCACTATCACCACGTGCTACAAACACTGGTTAACGACTTAATCTCACACGTTTACTTCTTGTATTAGCACTGGGTGATCATCAGGCTAACGCAGTTTTTTGGGACCCTGGGTGATGGAACCTTTCATCTTCAGAACCTGACTTCCAAGATTTCTCTGGGAGACTAATCCCTGCCATCCTAAAATGGGAAGGGATCCTGGAGGAATTCTGCCCTGGGAGGTGCACATGGGCCAGCCTGGAGGGGTCATATGTTACTTCCTCTCACATTCCTCAAGGCCATTGTTAACTGTAGGGGCGGGCGTTGGAAAAGTAGTCCCTGTGCGCACCAGGGCGGGGAAGCATGCATTTGATGGACAGCTAGCTTTTGCTTCTGCACCATAAGAAGGTTATTAGTAGGTAGAAATGAAAGATAATGGAAGCCTTGTCTGAGAGTGGCTGACACCAGACAGAGTGTGAGATTGAGTTGGTTAGGAATCTGCTAGAAAGCTGGGTCTCAGCCCTGGAAGGAAGGCTAGTGTTGGATGGGGCTGGGGGTTGGCTGGGCCTGTTCCTATAAGCCCCTCACCCCTATACCATACTCAGCAACTGTCTTGTGTCAGTAGGTGTCAGGAGCCAGACAGCACAGACCCCGGTCCTGGGCAGCTAGGGAGAGGCATCATCAAGAGGGCGCGCAGCCGGTGGAAAGAAGAGTCCTGACGGCCCATGTCCTGGGGCAGCACCGGGCCTCACTGCAGGGTGGCCGTGAGGTGAGCTAGCTATGAGGAAGGTTCGCATAATAAAGTGTCCTTGAACTTCAATGTGCTGTGTGAGACAACAGTTGTTAAGTATAGCAAACATGTCCCTGCTCCAGAAGCTGAGAGAGATTGTAGGAAACATCCCCAAAGTAATAGTACTGTTTATTCTTGAACTCCTGTTGTGAACCAAGAACTATGTGAGGTATTTTACATTAATTTAAACATTTTAACACAAGATAGTATTATTATCCCCCAGTGCAGGAAACTCAGGGAAGTCCAGTGAGTGACCCAAGGTCAAGCCCAAGGATTCATTCCACCAGGCACCACATAGACTTGGTACTGTTACTACACTATTAAGAATTTGGGTCTCCTTAGGAGGTGCTGTTCTCCCTGTCTCCTAAGACATCCGATCCTGAAGAGCACCGAGGGCTTGCTAGGGCCATCTCACCAGAGGGGAGGGAGGTAGCCGGCTTGGAGCACAAGTGCTCAGTTTTCCACTTGATTCTAACCTGGTCATCTAAGGGTGCACCCCCTTTCCCCACACCCTTCAGGTCCAAGGGAGTGATCGGTTGTTAGGGGTTCTGACATTAGACTGCAGAACCGAAGCTGTCTGACTCAGATCCAGCAGACTCTGAGACTACAGTTTAGGTTGTCCTAAATCTGACCAAAGAACCCTTTAGTATCTGTTGCTGTTCAGTGCTGTTGAGTCTTTTCTATACAGGGTTTCCAAGGAGCACCTAGTGGGTTTGAACTGTCAACCTTTCAGTTAGCAGTCCAGTGTTTACCCTAGAGTGCCGCATCAGCCATAGTATTTCCTAGTAAGAATTAAAGTCCTCACAGTTCTGTGAAAAAGATTTTTGTCATGCTGGTGTGGCACTATGGGTTAATGTGCTGGGCTGCAAAGCTGGTTCGAACCACAAGGTTGGTGGTTCAAGCTCACCAGCTGCTCCTCGGAAACCCTATACAGGGTTGCTACGGGTCGTATCTGACTCGATGGCACTCAACAACATAGTCATAAGTAACTCCAGAACTGCCTAATCCACCAGTGACAGGTTCCTAACTCAGCCAGGTGAGCATGCTTTGAAAGTCAGCCAATCTGAAGCTAACCCACTGTACCACTAGCCACACCTGCTTCTACAGGCAACACCAAACCAAGCTCCACAAACCCTATCCCTACATGTGAACAGAAGTTTGCTTTGTTCAAGGCCAGACTTTCCTTTTATTAATATACTCAGTATTTGGATTTTAGATATTCAGTGATACTGCCTCCTTTGGTGCTGGATGGGGTTCTTTTTTGTCTGTTTTTACAAATCAGTGCCCAGGATCAATGCTTGAGACGAGTAAGTGAGGGATTTAAAAAACTTTTTTTGGTTATCTATTGAACTGTAATTTCTAGTTCGTCTTTGTCCCATGATGATGTTTATACAGGAACTATGGTTGAGGCCTGGAGTCCTGGTGGCACTGTAGGATAAGCACTGGACTGCTAACTATATGGTTGGCAATTCAAACCCACCAGCCACTCCTCGGAAACCTTATGCAGGGTCACTATGAGTCAGAACGGACTCTACAGCATTTAACAACCATGTGGTGGAGGTCGAGCCCTCGGGACATTGAATCTTCCCTGAACCTTCTGCTCTGAGACAGATGGCCAGCTCCTTCCGTGCAGTCTGAGGGGTTCCTTCAAAAGGAGAACTCTTCCTCAGCCTGATTTACTCATCACTGGGACCTAATGGATAAGACTTTATTTTTACCACTATTCAAAAACAACTGAACATTTCAAGATTCAGAGGTTGACCAAGAAGCTCTGACAGGTGTTGGGGCAAGGGGACAGGTGAAAGGTCTGGTGCATTTGGAGCAGAAGACGTTATGGACCTGTTGAGTGTGCATTTTCTTTACTGGGACTTCATTTTTCTTGGAACAAATATCAACACTCATGGAAGCATCAGTCAAGAAATCTGCCACACAAGACCTTTTTAAAGTGTTGAAGAGCAAAGATGTCAGCTTGAGGACTAAGTGCACCTGACCCAAGCCATGGTGTTTTCAATAACCTCATATGCATACGAAAGCTGAACAGTGAATAAGGAAGACCGTAGAAGAATTGATGCTTTTGAGTTATGGTGTTGAAGGAGAATATTGAAAGTGCCATGGACTACCAAAAAAACCAATAGATCCATTTTGGAAGAAGTGCAGCCAGAGTGTTCCTTGGAGGCCAAGATGGCCAAACTTTGTCTCTCATACTTTGGACATATTGTCAGGCGGCACCAGTCACTGGAGAAGGATATCATGTTTGGTAAGGTGGAGGGTCAGAGAAAAAGAGGAAAACCCCCAACGAGATGGATTGGCCAAGTGGCAGCATCAATGGACTCAAGCATGGTAACGTAGTAAGGTTGGCCTAGGATCGGGCAGTGTTTCATTCTGCTGTGCATAAGGTCGCTATGGGTTGGTACCTACACAATGGCATCTAACAACAACCCCAAGGGTCCTACTCAACCAGGAGCACTGAAGTGCTCAGAAGGGTGAGTGTAGCTCCCCTGGAGATGGGGATCAGCCACTGCTGCCAAACTTACAGAGAAGTCTCCTGACCAAGCCTTAGGTTTCCCCAGAGATTAGCTTTCTTGGAGATTAGCTTTCTTATCAGCAACCTCTGGAGTGAATCCTTTAAGAGCTTTTCACATCAAAGTAAATCAGTCATGCTTTTGAGGGTTACATTCATAAATTTATATTTTAATTCTTTTTATGTACATATTGGCAATGACAAAGCTTAAAGATGCATGTCCTATGAAATATGCAAAACAAAGATTTGACATAAATAATTTATACTTCAGAAAATTAAAATTGAAAAATATTTTCCACATCATTAGAGTTCACAGTATTTAAAGCAAATCGAGCTTTCTCCCTTAGATTTCAAACTATATTGTCTCAGCAGAGAATGATAAACTCTAATCGGGAATAAAATGATCGTGTTTCTGTGTTTAATTCAGTGCAGAAAAGACACTATTTCGGTATCAGGCTGCTCAAGCGCTGAGGCCTTGGCATTTCGTCCCAATACATCACCTCCTGAGTGGCCGTGACCAGTAGAGATCACACGGCATGGACTGGCTACAGCGTGGTCCAACGCACTCCACCATGCACACATTCAACCAAGTGGTAACATCGCTGCTCTGATGCCTCATTTCCACATAATACTTTTTATAGCCCTGAAAATGGAAACCTTGGCATCTAAACACAGCTGAACATGTTAACACTAATACAAGGCACTGTGCTGTGGGTTTGGTTTATTTATAGGAAAGATCATGTTTGCATAGATTGCTAGTGATTTAGTGCGCAATAAAATCCAGGGTCTCCGCATGCGTGGCTTTGGGAAGGATGAAGCCCATGATGCTCCTTCGACCCTGGGCAAGCACAATCCGTTCCTCTCCAGCCCCAGCCTTTCGGGAAAATATCCTTGTTCCTTCCCATGTCCCTACAGATTTTTTTGCTCAAAAAGTTGCAGATCAAAGCGGACCCAGACCTCTCCGGTAGGGACCTCATGCAGCAGGAGTCGGCGGGTTGTAGGGCCTTTGCTTTCCTGTTCTGTTTGAATTTTTGCTACTGGAACTTCTGTACGACCCAGGAAATCTGGTGAATAAACATCACATGTAAGTCAGTGTTTGTTTTTTTAAATATAATTGTTAAAAATAACTACCACAGGAGAAGTGTCAAACGAAGATTTATAAACATTCAACCTTCCACAAGTACTTCTTCGGGTTTTGGGTTGCTTAATATTGTGGATGGACACATCTAGAATGACAACAGATTTACATAGAAAAACTGCATATTTGGAATTCAAATCCCTCTGGTTTGATGGATTCAGTATGAGCCAGAACAGTGTTTACATTCCACATGTAGTTTGTTGTTGGGGTTAGAGGCCTGAGCCACGCCTGAGCAGCTGTCCTCAGTGGGCCCCCACCTCCACATGGAAGTACACCCCACCTTCCGCCCAAGTGAGTCACTTAGTTCCATATTGCCAGTAGAAATAGGCAGGACATTCTGGATCTACAGACTGAGTTCTTGAGTACTGGGGAGTCCTTTTTATACTTTACCATCTGGAGAAAACTGGTCTCTGTCAAACATGGTAAGACACAGCACATCTTGGTAAAGATCCTTAATAAAGAACTGGCAGTTAAAATTCCACTTGGGATTCAGTGTATCCTGCAGGGTTCTGGTGGTGTAGCTCTGGGAGCCCATGCTGACTTCACAGTATGGATTGCTCTTTCCTAAACAGAAATAAACCAAAGATATATGTGGCATGTGTAGGTAAAACAAGTCACACATAGGACTGTCCTGGGTCCAAACTGATACATCACTACACACCATGGAAGCAGGAACCCTAAGGGGCCACCCGCCCTGCATCTATTACCATTGTCCCTGTCATCTCCACTCAGAAGCACTAAGGAGGGCAGGTGCTGGGACTCACCAGGGAAACAGTGACAATAACACTGATCCAATAACTGAGCATATCATCACTTTAGTGGCACTGGGAACACTCTGGCTTTTAAAAAGTTCAGAAGAGCTACCAGCAAAGAGCAGGGCAGTTACTGTGTTGGTTGAATGAAAGAGGCATTTACCATTTGGTTTACAGGCTTTTAATTCTGTGGCTTCAATGACATGCACCATCAGACGCCCGATGCCAGAAGTCTTTTGAGAACGGGCTACAAAAGAGGAAGACGAGTCATGTTACCTTCTTCTCTGGGACAGAAGCTAGCAGAGTGATGGTGCTGAGTTGCAGACAGTCCTAACCAACAGCAACAGTGCCGCCCAGCCTCAGCAGCCACCGCAGCCTGCAGCTCTGCCAGGAGCAGCTGCCTAGCTCCCTCCACCTGCTGACATCCTATTCATCCTCCAAAGTCCAGGTCTGAGCATCCGCTCTCCTTGGCTAAGAGCACCCCATGCCTGTGACTCTGAAGTTCGGGGTGACGTCTGTCTCCTCTGCCAGAGAGGAAGCCCTTGGAAGGCACAGGCAGGCTTTTTCTTTCTCTCTCAATTGCTCAGCAAATACTACTACTAATAAAATAGTAGTACATGACATTTGTTCAGTACTTACCAGCAGCTAACATGGATTAAGCACTTACTTTGTGTTAGGCATGCACTAAGACCTTTACAGCAACGCTATCGTTTTTCCTGCACAGTTACCCTCTAAGGTAGATCTTGATAAGAGGTGGTGGTGGTTAGCTGTGGGGGAGTCGAGTCTGATTCATGGTGCCCTAATGTGTGCAGAGTAGCACTGCGCCCCAGGGGATGTCAAGGCTGTGGCCCTTAGGAAACAGCTCTCCAGGCCTGGCTTCTGAGGGACCTCTGGTGGCTTCACACTGTCAACCTCTCAGCTGGTAGTTGAGAGAAAACTGAGGCTTAGGTAGGACTATAATGTATTCAAGTCACAGAATGTCTACATGCCAGGGTCAGAATTCAAGCAACCTGTCTGTCTGACACCAAAGTCTATTTTCTTAGCCATTCACTTAATTACAATCATATGCGAACACTTCCGTTCATAAAGCAATTTCTCTTAAGACCCTATTCCATGTAAGGAGGTACTCGAG